CTTTTCTTGACCCTGTTCTCAGATGCCGGCAGATACAGCTGGGCCCCGCCACCTGGCTGCTGCTGTTGCTTCATGGGTAGCTGAGAAATCTCTGCCCACAGCTTCTCTGTTGAATACTTACAACTCCTCAGAGTCAGCACCTAGAAAATGGGCAGGACTCTCCTATCTCGTGTCTAGCCTTCTCTCTCCATGTCTGCTACACTCCCCTCTGTCTCTGCACCCCTGATTTCAGGACTTCCCAGTGTATAGACAGGAAGATGAATACCTCACAGCTTCCAAGTTTACATGTGATGGTTTCATCCAGCCACTGAGCCTGACTTTCGGTCTCTCACATCTGGTTCCTAATTGCCAGGAGAGAAAATCTGGTCAACTTGATGTGGATCTCATGTCCTGTCTACTCAGAAGTACAAACATGGTTCCTAGGGACCCACTTAGTGAATCAGGGACATTGCCCAGAGAAGGGTGGGTGACTCACAGAGAGCAAAGTTTCTTCAAAAAGTACTGTTAGCAGAATTCAGAGTGGCAGATTCCTGCCTACAGATGAAGGTGAATCATCAGGAAGTGGCCAGGACAAGCCATGGCTTAATGGGACTGGCCACCCATCAAGGGTTTGTTGGTACAGATTAACATTGCAGCATCACCTAGACCCTTCCCCAGGTGCACTACTGCCCGGGCCTCTGTGTACTTGAGACAGAAGTATGGGGGTGGGAGAACCCTACTTCTGCTAAGATCAAGATTACTGAGGCCTCAACATAATTATTATCCAAGACCTCTCTGCCCCCCAACCTCCTAGACCAGCAATGGGGACTCAGAGCTTTATGAAATTGAACTCCCAAGATGCCTACAACCTAATGTGTATCTAGAAAACAATGAAGGCAGAGATGGTCTTTCAGACCTGCCTTGGATAGTCTGAATGCTCATGATGCTGTTGGTCCAAGCTGCTTCTACCTCAACAGCACCACCTACTCTTCCTCTTTTAGTGTTGTGACCTTGGGCAACTGACCCCACCTCTCCAAGCCTCAGATTTCTTATCTATAAGGCAGAGATAATAATCGTGCCTACCTCACGATATTGTATGATTAAATGAGATACTAAATGAAGCCTGCTAAGCATACTGCCTGGCACCCATCATCTCATCAGCACCACCAGCATCATCATCATCGTCATCCCATCATCATCATCACCATCAGCCCATCATCATCCCATCATAGCATCATCACTGTCATCCCGTCATTGTCGTCATCACCATCATTATCATCATCATCACCCCATCACCCCATCATCCCATCGTATCATCATCGCCGTCATCACCATCATCCCGCCAGCAGCATCATCATCGTCACTATTATTACCATCCTCTTTCACACTGTGGAACTGAGGTGTTCTATCTGGTTGCTGCTCTATGTCTTCCTCAGACCAAATTTCCCATGAGCTGCTGATCTGGGTAGGCCTCACTTGCCTGCTACAGCCCTTCTTCCCTCCCCAAGGTTCATTCCTGGGAGGGGACAAACAAATGGCCTTCATAGGACACATTGCATTCAGCCACATTTCCTCAGAAAGATGTTGGGAAAGGTGTTTCCACAGTGGGAGTCCCCATGTCAGTCAGAGAAATCCCATGATTTCTGGGGTTCACCAGATACCACCACTGTTCATTTTGCATTTTCTCGCTTGTAACATTCAAATAACACATCTTCTCAAAGCAGGTTCCTGTGGGTAAAGACACTGGCTCCTCTGTGCTGTTACCTGCCAAACCAGCCAGAGTTGCCCCACCCATCACAACCCTCCGCCAGCTCTGCAGGGACTCAGGTGGGAGGGAAGGCTGGCCGCCACCACCCTGACTCTGTTCTCCTAAAGGCTGACCAGAAGAGTCACCATTATGCTGCCCTTTAAGGCCTGGGGTCGCTCCCTCGACTCCAGGGAGATTAGGCTCTGACTCCCACGGCCTCAAGCAGCTACACCAGCACAGCCCCTCAGCCCACGGGGGGAGCAAGCCTCCCTTTGTCAGCCCTTGCATCTCCATGTCCAGTGACACGCCAATGGGGTGGAAAAAGTGGCTTCACTTCCTTGAACCTCAGTTTCTTCATCTAAAACAGGATGTAAGAACAGTGTCCCTTTCTTGGAGCTGGGCAGATTCATGTGGGAAAGCACTTAGTTGGCACATAGTAAGCAGTTGATAAGAGGCAGCTACTCTTAATTCCAGGCAGCCAAACCACCAGGAGAATACTCCATCAGGGAAGCCAAGGGACATGGGGAGGCTGGGCAGATTCATGTGGGAAAGCACTTAGTTGGCACATAGTAAGCAGTTGATAAGAGGCAGCTACTCGTAATTCCAGGCAGCCAAACCACCAGGAGAATACTCCATCAGGGAAGCCAAGGGACATGGGGACCTGAGAGGTGGCCCTATCCCAGGAGATCCTGAGGCCTAAGAATTTCATAGCCTTTCAGTCTCACAGACACTGACAAAGCTCAGTCAGTGTGAGCTGCATGTGGAGACCCACAGGTGGAGGTGCTTCTGAAAGTAGAATACCAGGAAGCCCCCATACAGTGTGGCTCCAAGTGTGGACACAGTCCCTGTGGTGTACCCCACCACATTGACACCTCTGTCTCTCCCTCCATCCTGGAAGGTCTGTCTCATGGTGTGGCGAAGCGCTTGGGCTTGGTTCAAATCCTGGCTTACAAGGCTCGTGCCTTGGTCAAGTAGCTTTACATTGCTGAGCCTCAGTTTCCTCATTATGGGGAGAAAAATGGTGCTTGAACAAGTGGCCTGGTGCGTATGAGCACTCACCACCTAGTGACTCCATGGTCTGTCTGTGAGCCACCCCAGTCACCCACAGTGTCCCTGCACTCCCCACGAGACCACTGCATTTTGGAGCTGCTCACTCCTTTAAGGACATGCGGAAAGACTGCTTACAAGGTTAGACTGGTTGGAAGATGTTTATTTCAAGCTCTCCATCAACAGGGTCAGTTCTGCCAAGCATCTGTGGAGTATGCCGCCGTGCACTGTCTCACAAAAGTGGGGAGAATGATGGAAAGAGGTAGCAGCACTGGCTTTCTTTGCCTTGTTTGAGGAACTGCTGGTAACTGCAGACAGCCCACAATCGTCACAAGTTTCCTGGAGTAACAGGGAAAAAAGATTCATGAGAAGAAACATGGAGGAGAAGGGCCAGAGGATCCACCTCTGGGAAGGGAGGCTCCACCTGCAACTCCAGAGGAGTTTCCTGGAGTAACAGGGAAAAAAGATTCATGAGAAGAAACGTGGAGGAGAAGGGCCAGAGGATCCACCTCTGGGAAGGGAGGCTCCACCTGCAACTCCAGAGGTGGCAGCTCAGAGTGGGAGTCTAGATTAGATGAGGAAGAGATGTCCCCTGGGCAGCCGACAAAGCCACAAGGATGTCACCACAGACAAGTTCATTGTCAGACCCTACTCATGACAAGTCCCCGGTTGTGGCTGGGAAGAAGAGCAGCCCCGGGGGCAGCCTGTTGCCAACCCCACTGTACTGCTCCAGCACAGGAGGACCTGCTGTGCTGGTGCACTCAGTTGGGAGGCGCTCAGCAAGTGGTCCCAGTATCTGAAAGTACCGATGTCTGTGAATGTTTCACTTGTTTGTAAGTTAGAGCCGATTCATGGTTTCTCTGTACAGTGTCACATTCACTTACTGCACTGCAACCCTCTTTCTGAATGGAAGGGGGGATACAATAGCCAGTGGGCTGGGAGTTGAACATACCAGGGCTTCTCTCGCCTATGCCACAGCTTATGGTGGGGGTGGGGGTGGGGTTAGCCTGTGACCATCATGAGACCCACTACACTAGAGGACTTGTAGGGCACTCGTAGGGCCAGGCACATGCTGTGCATGTCATCACCTAAAGAGGAGGAGCTGATGGACAGAAGGGTCCTGGAGTAGCCATCCTAGAAGACAATCAGACTTCCACCAGCCTGAACAGTTCCATCTTGGGTGGAGGAAGGAGGCCCCCGGGCTCAGTGATGGTATGATGCGCATGCTGCAGTGAGTGAGGATGTCACCCCCCCCACACACACACACAGGTGTCTAGTGTCACAGGGCAATATGCAGCAACCTGGGACTGACCCTAGAGTACAGGGAGTATTTGGAAAGAAGTCTGGACATTGTCTGACTTTATGAAGTGGGTTACATTGTTGTCTGGCCAAAGGTCAAGGAAAGCTATAGTTAAGGGATAGACCATGCTGCAAGGGTGGGGAGAAGCCTGGAGCATCAAGTGGTTATAGGAAGTCAGTCTTTTTGGACAGAAACAGATAAAAGAAAGGAAAGAGATGGCACCTCCCCCCAGAGAGGCTGAGCAGGAAGCTGCACCCTCCGCTGGAAAGGCTCACTGCTGGGGAGTAGAGATGACAGAAAAGCTGGACAGGCAGCCCATGGAGAGATCCTGGGCATGGACTCGGTTGCTGGAGCAGGTCACAGAGCAAGTGTGCTGGGGGGCTGGCTGGAGCCAGCAGAGGAGACTGTCTGGTTCAAGGATGTAGCAAACACAGGAATTCAGGAGTGTCCTGGTGAATGGTGATGCTGCTCATGCCCCCATGCCCGATGTGCAGGATGGTCCACAGTTCTGTCTATGCACGCTTTTAATGTGGACCTACTGTGGACTACATGGGCTCTATGGTGTTTTCTATTAAACATGTCAGCCTCACACTGGGGTAAGTGGGTGTGCCTGCATTTTAATCATGGCCTTGACGCTGGAAAAGGCTGAACATTCAATTAAAAGTTAACAAAATAATTACCTGGAGACTTGAGGACTTTCCTGGATGGAGGCTCTGAGGGATGTTGTGTTCACTGACCTGGCAGCTCCAGGTGTGCCCCAGATGTGCCTGCAGCATGATGGAGAAGGCCAGGGGAGGGGTTAGGGAGGGAAATTGCTCTACGGGGCTTCCTGAGCTAATGACCATACAGTCTGAGATGCTTTGGCCTCCTCCAGGAGTACCTGGTCTTTCCAAGCTGTTGCTAAAATCCAACCCTTTTCCTCTGAAGCAGGGGGCGTCTCTATGCCACGCTGGGGCCCAACTGGCGGGTTCCAATTCGGAATTCTCCCAGAACCCGGAGCTGTGTCTACAGGTATTCATTTTTTCATCTGTTCATTTATTCAACAGATAGCTTTAGGGTGCTTGTTGGCCAAGCACTGTGCTCGAGGCTGCCAGAGAAGACAGACACAGCCTCTGCTTCCATGAAGTACTACAGGGCACTCGGGTTATCCCAGAGAGCAGGGGCTGAGCACTGTAGGGAGATCAGGGAAAGCTCCCCTGAAGAACAGTCTCGAAAAATTAATAGGAATTAGCCAAATAATTGAAGGGGACAAGTAGGAGTAATGAGTGTACTCCCAGCCAAAGAGATAGCTGGTGGGCCCCGAGGCAGGAAGAGCAGGGTGATTCTGTGAGTGGAGGGAAAGCAGTGTTCCAGAAGAGGAGAGAGGGGCCAGCATGAGATGAGGCTGGGCCGCATGCAGCAGGAGTAAGGATGGTGGCCCCCACCTTAAAAGCAGTGGGGACCATGGGAGTGGTTTGATGGAGGGGGAGGGAAGGGGTGGCATGACCCTGGCCATGGTATGGGGGGGCACAGGAGGAAGGCAAGAGTGGACACAGGGAGGCCAGGGGAGAGCATCAGGCAGCCACTCAAAAGTAGATCAAAGCTCATTTGGGAGATCGTGGTGCTGAGAACACCAAGGTCAAGAGTTTGTATCCCTATACCAGCTAATCATCAAAAAAAAAATGAAGAAGAAGATTCTTCGTGGCCTAAGATGGGGTAGTGGGATGACTGTCAGATATACTTAGGACCTGGGATCAGCACATCCTTGGGATTGATTAGGTTGTGAGGGCATAAGCGAGAGGAGAAAAACCCAGGTTTCTGGCCTAAGCAACTGGTAAGTGGTGGTGCCATTCACCAGGACAGGGAGGAAGAGCAGGCTTGGAGGAAGGTACGGGTTGGTGAGGTGCAGTGGGGCATCCAGTGAGCAGAAGCCTGTGCACACTGAGCTCAGGAGGAGGTCTGGGCTGGCCATGTACTTGGACATCTTCACCTGTAGATGGTGCCTGAATCCCAAGGGAGAGGGTGAGAGAAGAGCCTGGAGGAAGAGATGCAGGGAATGCTGGTGTGTGGGCTCCCATCCCTCCTTCCCATTCCACCCGCACCTCTCCACTGCCTCGGCTGCTCCTTCACTCCTTCAAGGCTCCTCCCAAGAAGGAGGGGCCGCTAAAGCTGGAGCTGCACAGGCCCCAAGTTCCTCACATGTGGAGGAAGACCACAGGTGCAAGCCCTGGGGAGCAACCAAGAGAAGCCCCAGCAGAGGTGTCTGTCAGGATAGGGGGCGGGTGCTGCTAAGGGAGGTGGAAGTTCTCAGCTGTGGGTGAGCCCTTCATGCTCTCCTGTGGCCTTGGATCCCCCTCCCCCCCAGCCTTGCCCCAGCACTTTTGAGTCCTGTGGCCTATGGGAGCGTCATGGACTGAGCAGTGGGGCACAGTGGAGCCCAGCTCCTCCAGGGAGATGTCTGACTGGTGGTCTCCCCTCAGCCCCACTGGCCCATGCATCTGTACTCTGGGGAGCTCAGCAGCAGTGCCCACCATGGAGGGGCCTCTGAGAAGGAAAACCCTGCTTAAGGAAGGCCGAAAGCCCGCGGTAAGTGCAGACACACATTCGTCAAAGGCAGTGTGGGCAGGAGTGAGGGGCCTGGGTCCAGAGACCAGCCAAGCAGGTTTCCAGCCCTGGCTGTGCCACTAAGTGGCAAGGGCCTCGGTTTCCACATCTGTAAGTTGGGACAAAATAGTGCCTATTCCTACCTCTAGGAAGCTGCACATGTGGCAGAGTACCCAGTGAGCTGCAACAAGCCAGAGCCGTGAGGGTGGTCATGGGGGCAAGTGGAAGCCTGGAGACCCCTGGGAGCAAGAAGAGCAGCATCCTCAAATGAATGAGGGAAAAGCACAGGGACAAGGAATCAGGAGTCCTTTCAGACTCCACCACCAGCCCCAGGTCACCGGTGCTGGACCCAGATGTCACTGGCTCTGCAACCCCCACATGGCAGGACCTCAGCCCCTTGCAGAGGCCTCTCAGTTACTTCTGGGCATCCATGACTAGTTGTCTGAAAACTCTTCAGTGAGCTGCACCTCCAGGCAGCATCTGCTCTGTCCTTCCTGTCCTGCTATGGTTCCTGCATGCCCTGTCCACTGCCGACAGAGCCACTTGGAGATGCCACCTCCTACCAACACCCACTGTGAAAATGCCAGGGCCCTTGCCCAGATTCCACCTCAAGATGCTCTTGGAGCCTCCTGTCTCCAAATGCCAGGTGGTTTTTGGTTGAGGAGGAGAGTCTCCACCCCAGCTCTGGACCACTCTCTGTCACTTAGGCCCAGCGTATCACAAAGCACACTGCACCACAGGACTCTATATCTGCCCTGTTGTACAGACCTGCCTGCCTCTCTCCCTTACCCAGAGTCCAGGCCCCAGTCATTCCAAGGCCAGAGCAAGACAGTTTCTTTAAACTAGTGTTTTCCCAAAAGCTGGTTGACTCAATAGTGAGTGATGACAGTTCAGTGGGTCATGACCAGTGTTTTTGAGTGGAATGGAATAGAATGGAAAGTGTTGGAGTTCCTTACACTAGTAAAGATAAGTACTGTTTTATGAAACCTTTTTCAGTTCAACATGTACATGCATGTGTGCTGTACACACCTGTAGGAGTCTGTGAAGAGTCTAAAAGCCACCACTTTCCCCTTGGTGATGATGTGACTCCACCCAGTGTGAAGGAACCTGCGCATGGCGATGCAGAGCAGCCTGCTCCTTGTAGGCACAATCCTATTCCTTCCAGGATGGGGTGTTTGCTTCTCCCTTGTAGAACTAAAAGCCCCACTGGAGTGATTTTCCCTAAACCAAGGAGCAGAGCTCCCCGAACAGGAGATTCCTCCCTAGGGAAACAGAAACACACCTGCAGCTTGACCCATCAGGTTCGCCCACTTCTGGCCACAAAGGTGTCAGAAACATTGCCATTCAATCTCATCCAGAGCAGTCATCACAGACAGTAAGGTTCTTCTAGGCCATGGGGTAGCATGTCTGTATTTTAAAAATGCTTTTTCCCAAGACATTTGGGCCCAGGTTGCCTGAATCCATAGGTATTATGCCCTGGCACTGCCTTAAATAAGGTGACAGAAAGAAAGACTCTCTGAGTACAGGAGCAAGAGAAGGAGGGGAAAAAAGTGTCCCCTCCTCCTGGTCCTAGGTGGTGTTGGCATTGACCAGGGCTGGTGCAGGGCCAGGGAAGAGATGCGGCCTGCACTAGCCTGGATGGGGGTGGCTGGGTCTATAATCAGGCAACAGGGTGGACTCCACCCCCACCACCCTGGCATCCTCACTCTGACTCCCTTTCCTCTTTAGCTGTCCTCATGGACCAGGTATTGGGTCATACTCTCAGGATCCACTCTCCTGTACTATGGAGCCAAGTCCTTGCGGGGCACAGACAGAAAACACGTAAGTCCCATGAAAGGACTCTCATACTGGGACTTTATCTAGTGGGGAAGGGACCTTTGTGAACTGCAGGGGGTGGCAGAGTGGGAGAGAAGTGGCTGGGACAGCTCAAGCCGGCTTCCCTTGTGGAGTGGAGGGCATGAGCCCGGGCCTCCGGCTGTGTTGTTTCTCTCCGCCAGTATAAATCCACACCTGGCAAAAAGGTCTCCATCGTGGGCTGGATGGTGCAGCTGCCTGACGACCCCGAGCACCCGGATATCTTCCAGCTGAATAACCCTGACAAAGGTAGGCAGCAGGCCTGGAACAGAGTCTGTAGCTTCTCTCCACCCTGTTTCCTCTTCTGCTAAGTATGTGTTTTGAAGTTGTTAGGAGCTTTTGAGCCTGCTGTTTTCCCTTTGCTTTAGGGTCCCCTAACTACTCAGGAAAGCTGCTTAGATCATGGTGACATGTCCATTGAGCAGTATACACAGCACGTGGCTGTAGGAATCCTTTTTGTGGCCTTACTTACAGCCCCTGGGACCCATCACCCCCTGAGCTGTAGCTTCAGGGTCTTGGAACAAATAATATAATGCTGGATGAGGCAAGGCCATGTGGCTGGAAGGGTCTTGGGAGATTTCAGGGATCCCCTGACATGCCTGTGCTACAAGACTCTGGCAATGTCCAGGCCCAAAGCCAACTCAGAAAAGAACCCTTCTAACTTCCAAAAGCTCAAATTTTACCTTCTCCAGCTGTCTCCCAGTTTCCCCTGGTTCTGTCCTTCCCCCACGACCAGGCTGGGAAGAAGGAGAGGCTCTGGGCACCATTCTGTCCAGGAGCCCTATCTTCATTGATAATCAGAACAGGCCATGGCTAGTCTTCTTGGTAACCCACATCATGTGACAAAAAAATCCAAATTGCCTGGGTCTTGGATTCTATCTAACCAGGCAAACTTACTGGGGCTGTCAAGTCCCTGAGCATCTTCATACCTTAACAGGAATGTTCTAGTGCAGGGTTCATGTATGCACAAATCACCTAGGGATCTTGTTAAAATTCAGATTTGGATTCAATAGATTTGGGGTGGAGACCAAGATTGTGCATTTGTAACAAGCTCCCAGGTGATGCAGATGATGGTGCAGATGTTCTTAGCTGAGAAGCAAAGAATGAAAGGGATACAAAAGCCTCAAGGAGCCCAAGGAATGGAGAGGAGATCGATTGCCAAGCTCTCTGCTCTGTGTCTGAGTGACTGAACCCATGCGTGTTACACATGCAGTAGTGTGTCCTCAGCTTGGTTACCACTTGACTTTCTTCCTTGACAGTCTGGGCCTGGATTAGTGGTGGTTTCTTTAGGAAATAAAGGCTATGCCTGCACAAGCTTGACTTAAAGATCTTATGGCCATGGGGACCACATGCCACTCATGAGCTTTGGCCTAGAGGAAAGCATTATCCCCATGCAGAGGGAAATGTGACACAAGGGGTGGCCAGGGCCCATGAGTGGAATTCAAAAAAATGGCGAACTTGGATGGGGAAAAAAATTACATATTTGTTTTCAGTGACTTCTGACTCCTTCCATTATGAGTATAGCCATCAAATGACAAAAATGTTAGCAATACCTTTGGTGTTATCTCCAAGAGAAATCACAGATACTTTCATATCACATACTGTTGCAGATATCTCAGAATATTTATGCTCATCTCCTTAAAGTTACAGTATCAGACCTGCCTCTTGCTCTTGTTATTAGTGCATTAGTACAGAACCATGTATAGAATCACATCACTCATTTGTTTTTTAGTAGTTTAATAACTGCATTTTAGTGTTATTGATTTCCTTTGTATTTTATTTTATACATTTAAAAACATTACTCTGAGAAGGGGTCCACAGGCTTGACCAGACAGCCAGAGGCACTATGACCCCCAAAAAGGCTGAGAGCCCCGGTCCACAGATACGGCCCAAGAGGTTACCTCTTCTGCCAGCTCCACCTTGTCTTGGGCTCCTCCTGGCCTTCCTCCGTTTCTTGCCCATGTTCACATTTCTCTTCCTGTGGCAGTCACAGGCCAACCCTCCCATGTGACACTCTTCTAACCAATGTTTTCTCTACACATCAGGCAATGTTTACAAGTTTCAGACTGGTTCCCGATTTCATGCAATACTGTGGCACAAGCATTTGGATGATGCATGTAAAAGCAACAGGCCTCAGGTAAAGTCACCAAGATTCTGCTTGTCACCTGAAATACCCTCTTACCCTTGGAACTAAGGGTCTTTAGAAAACAGGGCTCCCTTCTTCCCTCAGAGCCCACTAGTTATGCTCCCAGGCACCCTTTTCTGATTAGCATTTTTCCTTGAGACAATGCACCCCTTAGAAGTAAGCTTAGAAGTAAGCCCAGTTTCAGACCAGAGCTTTGATTCTGCTTCCCGTGTCTTTCCCTCTCAAGGAAGTGCCACAGAAATAAGGTGGCAGGTGTGATATCAGCCAAGGATCAGGCTCCAGCGTCTTATTTAGCTCATCCCCCCCAAAATTGTTTTCATAGAAATACTCCACACTGACTAAGGGGCCTCCCTACCACACAACCCTTGGAAATAATAGGAATAGCTAACTTACTGAGAGCCAGCCACATGCCAGGCAAGGCTGCTGATGAGTGGGGGATGAACCAGTGCGATTTGTACTAATGTGGGCCTCCTCTGGGCTGCTGGGCCTGGCTCATGGTATGGTCCCCCCCATCCCCCACCACCAGCACGGCCACCCTCCTTCCCCTGGCATTATGTGAAATGCTTCACAAGCAGGAATTAGCCAAGTCCTGTCAACACCCCTGTGAGGTATGTTCTCTTACTGTCTCCATTTTATGATGAGGATCCTGAGGCTCAGAAGTGGCAGATGCTTGCTTAAGGCCCCGCAGTTAGTAAGCGGTGGAGCTAGGCTCTAACCCAAGTCCGTCTGACTCCCAATTGTATGCTTGATGCCCCTGAACTCTCTTGCCTCCACTTCCCTGGGAGCCCCTGCAGCTGAACAGAAGGCCCAGAGGCACAGGCGTGCAGTCCAGGCTTGTGAGAGTAATGGCTACACAGCCTCAGTGCCGGCTGGAGGCAGGCTGGAGCTTCCACTCCCTGTCCCTCAGCGTCCATTGGTGTGTTCGCCAGGGATCAGCCAGAGGAGGGAGCCGGGCAAGCTGGATGCTTCTCCTCAGCCTGCCTGAGAGAGAGCACCAGGGCCTGGAATCAATGATGGTAGTTTCCAGGAGGAAGGGTGGGGAGCTGGGAACAGACAATAAGCCACCCATTGCGGACAGCAGCTCTGAGGTCTGAGGGACCTTGGCAAAGGCAAGTTCACGCTATGCATTTGGGTCTGGGAGGATTGGGACTTCGTTGTGCTGGTCACAGCACGGTCACAGACTTCTTGGCCCCTCAAAGTGGTTCCCGTAAAATGGAGGGAGGTCTCTAGTGGCATGTCCCAGGTAAATTGCAACTTGTAAGTGTTTTTGTCCAATTTTTAGACCTAGGGGAGGGGATTTTTTTTTCTACTTTTTTTCCTTTTTATTTCTAATTTACTTTCTTTTTTTTTTTTTTCCTTTTTGTCTTTTTTTACTGACCGGTAACGGGCTTGCAACCCTCGGTGTTGTGCCCGCACCGCGCTCAGCCAGTGAGTGGGAACCGGTCTCCACATGGGATCCGAACACTCGGCGGGAGCGCCACCGCGCTCTCAAGCGGCGCACTCTCCAGTGCGCCACCGGGCCGGCCCATTATTTCTAATTTACTTTCAACCAAATATTCCCACTCTGTGCTGTATGTAATAAAGGGTTGGCAATAACCTAAATGTTCAACAACACAGGTCTGTTTAAGTCAATCACAGTACGTCCATGTGAGGGAATGCAAGGCGTGTGCAGAAGGGTGTGACAGAAGCACTTCTAGTCACAGGGAGGATCTCTGTGACTGGGACTGGCTTTCTATTTTGTGGAATTGCATTCTTAAAATTGTTTTTTCTAACACTGAATCCACTTAAACCTTATTTATAACATATGTGTAAGATATAAACAACAGCAATAAAACAAACCTGTGTAGACACCACCCAGCTTACAGCAGAACCTCTCAGAGCCTTGGAACACCTTCCCTCCCCCATGTGCCTCTTCGGAATTCTGTCTCCCTCCCTCCCACCCCCGCCCATAACCACTCTCCTGATCTATCTGTTTACCATTGCTTTATAATTTTAGAACATGTATTTGAGTCCTTCATGTATTATCTGGGATGCATTTTTAAAACTTTTTTATAAATAGAACCATAACCATAGATTTTATTCTGTGACTTGCTTTTCTCCCACAGCGTATTCCTAAGATTTGTCTGTGTCAATTCCCTCCCACCCCCGCCCATAACCACTCTCCTGATCTATCTGTTTACCATTGCTTTATAATTTAAGAACATGTATTTGAGTCCTTCATGTATTATCTGGGATGCATTTTTAAAACTTTTTTATAAATAGAACCATAACCGTAGATTTTATTCTGTGACTTGCTTTTCTCCCACAGCGTATTCCTAAGATTTGTCTGTGTCAACCCATGTAGCTGTCATTCACTTATTTGTTCTGATTTTTTAAAATCAGTTCTTCTGTCAATCATCCCAGGAATGACTTCCTGTTTTTTGCTATTGTGAACAATGCTGTTGTGACCATTCTTATAACCGTCTCCTGGTGCCTGTAGATGCATTTTTTTCTAATTCATCATATTGACCAAATTTACACCAAGATGCATTTATTGTTGATGAAATTGCTCCTAAACAAATCTGGGGGAGGAGGTCTGGGGCTGGGAGCCTGTTGGCAGCTCTCAAGGTAGAGGGAAACACTTGACCATGGGGCTGGTGGGTCCCCCAGTAAAGGGGACTAGGATCTTGTCCTGAAGGCACTACTGTGGTTTCCCATATCACCAAACTTACTCCTTCTCCTGTGCTTCCACTTGCCAATTCCTGCCACCCCCTAACGATACACGCCTCTCCCACTGGTTTCCCCTCCAGAGGCCTATGCCCCATTCTTGTGGGATTCTTCTCCCCACCCCAAGCGCAGTTTTATTTTGAACAGAGGATAGTGGTTGAGGGTGTGGGCTCTGGAGTTTTAGCCTTGCCACTTATTTACTGTGTACTTAGCTTCTCTAAGCCTCAGTTTCATTGTCTTTATAATGGGGACAATCTAGTGCATGCCTGATGGGGTTGGTGTAAGGACTCAAGGACACAATACATATGAAGTGTTCAGAGCAGTGCCTGGCACACAGCAATCACTTACCAAGTGCCATGCCCTCTCCCCAATGGTCCTGCTCATTCTCAGACTGACTGGGAAAGGCCTGGTCCCTTCCCCTAGGGACCAGTCCTTGTTCCTTTTCTAAGAGGTTGGAACTTTGACAAGAGACTGAACTTTCTTTTCTAGGTACCTGCAAACCTTATGTCATTTGAGTAAGTGTCTGCAGGATGTGGCATGACTTCAGAGGCTTCTGGGAGCCTGGACTGGACCTGATGGAAAAGAGCAGTCCTGGGCACAGGCTGTGGGCCAGGGTGCTGGGAGACTCACAGCCTCACCGGGGACACAGCCTGTGGCCTCACAGTCCCAGAGGGCTCCACTGGTGCGGGATCCACCTGTCCATCCCCAGCGACTCTCATGACACTCATTCCACAGCACCACCTCATGGGGTGGTGGTTGGACCCCAACTATACACCCCGCTTTCCGTCTCTGGGCCCTTGTCCATCCACCAGCTGCTTCTGCAACCAGAGAGCATTCAGCCCACGTTGGGTTCTCAGTGCTTTCTACTGCACAAAGAGTGGACAGCGTTCACCTGTGAGAGGGGCCTGAGAGAAGGAACAGGCTTTTTACACCCCAAGTGTATGGGGTTGCTCGCCCACAGGGCTGCCTCAGATTTTGTACAACCTCCGAAGCATCTTCTGCATATGTGTGCCATACATATGTGTGTGTGAGCAAGTGTGAACTCTTTGAGAAACATGCATTTTGGCACAAGGCTTGTGACATCACACACTTCATTTGCTTTGAGGCCCTGCTTTAACTTTAAGTTATAGTCTTGTCCACCGAGGAAGGTCAGAGTGAGAGCCCAGATTCCTCCTGTGTTAAGGGTCCCTTGCATTCTTTTACTGTAAACAAACAATGCCTTAAATTGTGTCCTGTTTTCTGTTCCTATGGGTGCTATTCATCTGGAAGGCCTGCTTCCTGGGTCCCCGGGTCCCTTCCAAGCCTTGTTGCTGTCAGCCCTTCTGAGATAGGACCCGGCTTCACAACGTGGACTGGGCCGCTGGCCAGCTTGCTTCCTCCTGTCCCTCTCCTGCAGGGCCTGAGGCCCTTCTTCTCACCCCATCCCACCACATTGGAAGTTGTGACATTTTCTCCTGGCTTCCTCAGAAGTAGCTCAGGCGCCACTGTGCTCACAGTGATCAGCTGCACAGAAGCCACTTGGCACCGACCTCTCCCCGCAGGGCAAGGCTTTGCTCACGTCATCTCTCACCCCTTTGCCTCCACTGCCAGGGCGGGGCCCATCGGGATTCCTGATCATGCCTGGGAGCTGAGTGACACTGAGGCCTTAAGCTCCCCCAGTATTGCCACCAAATGTAGTCACCAGCAAGTTCTCCAGCATCCAAGTCCAAGGGCACAGTTGTTGATGATCATGTGACAAGAGAGCAAAGCCCTGGAGAGTGAATGGTCCAACCTCTGCATTCAGTTAAGAGCTCTTCACATGAACGACGTCCTTTATCTGTAACCTTTTGCCATATTTGAAAGTAACTTGTTTTGTAGAAATACGTTTCTATTGAAAATAATGAATTGCTCTTTATCACCATAGTCAGTCTCTTTCTCTCTCTCTCCCCCTCCCTCCCTCCCTTTCTCCCTCCCTCTCCCTCTCTCTCTCTCTCTCTCTCATTAATTTGGATATCTGAATTCTGAGAAGGAAACCTTTAAATGATTTTCTGAAAGAGACTGAATTTCTGGGTCCTTGTCGCTATCGTGGTTTCAGAGCTCACACTAATCAGACATTGAACTATCATTAAGTGTTTCTGCACAAGATGCTTCAAAATGACAGCTAAACCAGTAAACTGTAATAGTTTAACTTAAAAACTACCAAAGGACCCATCACTGTATTTTGATCATATGGTGACAACTTCTCTGAAAAAAATTGAATTGGTGAGGAAAGCAGTTATCATCAGGGTCTTATCTTATGGTTGAGCCTTTCTGTGCTCAGTAACTAACCCTGACTAGAACAAAGACTAGAATCCTTTCATGCCAAGAGAAAATCTAGATGGAAAAGTTGATGTCATCGAACCTTGACCACAGACCCACCCATAGCCAGGGTCTGGATGTGTGCACCTAATTCTAACAACTAGTCACATTAGCATCTGGAGGCTGAATGACAACACCAAACACTCCAAACCGACCAGAACCCTGCAGTGTTAATACTTTAACCTACATTGAATCCAATCCTGCCCCTTAACTTTTAAAAAGTGTTAAGTTTGGATGGAAGTGCAAGAGTGGAACATCAGCTACTTATTTTCCTTGGGTTTCTCCATTCTGGAAACTGTCCTGGTTTTTCACATATAAAATATTATAAATGCCGATCCAAAATGCCAGAATTTCAGGCTCCACTAAATCAGATCATTTTCTACCCTTTACAAATTTTTTTATCTTTCACAAATACTTTCTTCTGAGTCTAATTTGAAATAGCACAACCACAATTCTTTTAAAGTGTTTAGTGTTCTTACTAATTGAGACTATTCTCACATCCCCTCCCAGGACCATTCTTAGCTTGGACTCTTGAGGAATCTGTTTAGACTTGGTTGGCACAAGCCTTGTAGAACCAGTAAGAGCCTTGGACACACTGGAAGAGTCCTGGAGATGAAGCTGAAAGGTACTTGGCTTTCCAAGCAGGGGCTCAGGGCCAAGTCTGGGAGTAAAGAGCTGATTGTCTTCCCAGTATTGGTTTGTCCCTCAAGCTGCAGGTGGGGAGGCCTGCAAGCCTGGGACAGAGTGGGCCAGGCACAGACCACAAAGGGGGAAAGTCCATGGGTGGATTCTCACCCTGGAGGGAAACATCTCTGTGTTTTGCTCCTTGACAGTCCATAGTGCACAAATGTTTGTGAAATCTTTGAAGGTATTATGTCTTGCATGCATATGCTGTATTTTTTTAAGCAAATAGATTATGGCACCCCAAAATGAAAAGCTAGAATGCTGTCTACAAACTGTGGAGTAGGTAGCTGATCGCTTCATGATGTCCCAAAAGCAGCTCACTCATTCACCTCTTCCTGGGTGTAATTTTTGCCCCACTTAGTTGAACACATTTTGTTAGTCAAGGTCAGCCAAGTGCATTCTGGTAACTGAAATACTTCATGGAGGGTTTAGCTGGTGGAGGGCAGTAGAAATATTGTTCTGAGAGTGCCCAGTGAGAGACTACAGCCCCTGAACACATTTTGTTAGTCAAGGTCAGCCAAGTGCATTCTGGTAACTGAAATACTTCATGGAGGATTTAGCTGGTGGAGGGCAGTAGAAATATTGTTCTGAGAGTGCCCAGTGAGAGACTACAGCCCTTTTCCCTCTCCTGACCAGAAGCCCACCCAGCACCCTTTCATACTGTGGGACCTGAGGAGGTAAATACTTGAAGGGATTCTGTTTAGGAAAGAACCTACTCTTGCTAACTAATTCATGAAGCATTTTTTTCTTACCAAGATGGCCAATATTTCTTTCATCATTTTACTCCCATCTTCCAGCACCCTGTCATACTGTGGGACCTGAGGAGGTAAATACTTGAAGGGATTCTGTTTAGGAAAGAACCTACTCATGAAGCATTTTTTTCTTACCAAGATGGCCAATATTTCTTTCATCATTTTACTCCCATCTCCCAAGCCCAGGAAGTGTATCTGTTAGGATGCCATTTTACAGATGGAAAATGGTGAAATGAGAAGCCATTTGCAAGCAAAGTCTGATTTATGCATCAGGTGGGGTGAGAGCTCTGCACCTACATTGCTGATGCTCATAACCACCAGGTGAACATTGCCAAAAACACAGCCTGACTTCTTTTTTTGATCCCATAAATAACTTTAATCAGCCCTACATCATATTGACCTGCTGGGTGATTACATTTCTAAAAAAGAAAAAACTACAAGCATCCCTTTGAAATAACAGATTCTCTGCACAAAACCATCCTTTCATTCATTCACATCTCTAGCGAGTGCTTCCTATGTACCATGCTCTACCCAGGATATAAATGGCTGACAATAAGACAGATCTGATCCCTGCCCTCATGGAGTTGCCTACTCAATGAACACATAATCCCACCACACCCATCTCCTTGGGCAAGACTCTGCCTGTCTCCTAGCACTGGGTACAAATCCTGTGCACAGAGTCCTCTAGAAATGCTTCCAAAGACTTAACAGACTGAATAGCCTCTTGATCTGTGAGTTCAGTTGCAATGAGGACTAACTACAGTTGTCCTAGAGGCTGGATGTCTCACAACAGCCAGGCACCGAACTGTGGTTGGTACACAGAGGATTCCAAAGGTGGGATGAAAGAGTAGGGTTAGAGTGTTCACAGTATTTCACAGGTTTTTGTTTTCAATTTCAATGTTAAATACAAGTAACAGCTTGTATTTAACATTGTATTTGAGTAACAGCTGCATGTTCTTGGGTGTTGAGAACTTGTACCATGGACTTTAGGCCACCTTGCAGCCCTATGCTGCACAGGCATGTGTACCCCGTGGGCAGCCCCAAAACTCCCACTCTCAAAAGCAACACGATCGATCATCTGCCCATTTTATAATCATTAATCTCTACCCATTTCTGAATGACTGTGACCACTTAGTGATGAAATAATAGTAATTAATTTATTAGTACGGTATAATCTTTAATAAATTTTGTGCCAAAATGCATGATTTTCCACTTAGCATTCAAAATGTTGTGTAGAGAGTAGTTTTCAATTTCTTATGTATTCTTCAAAGTAAGTTGGAAATCAGTTTCTACACTTTAATTCATTTCTTGTTAAATCTGTTGCATTCTCCTGGGCTGTCTTTTTTTCCAGCAGACCCCTGCCTGCATGCAGTTGTGTAAGGACTTCCTCTAATTCTTGTGAATTGTCTCATCCGCAATAACAACTGAACATAAGCCCTCCATGGGATTCTTTAGATTTTTGGTGAAGTATTTTGTTACCTCAGTCTTGTATCAAGTTGCTGTATTTTCAGCTTGTTACACTGATAATAATTGTTTCACTAATTAAATACTTTAATGTACAAACTTCTTTGTTTACTTTGAAATTAAATGTGTTTTCCAATGAATATTGCTCAGTTTATTAAAGTCACACATATTCATTTAGCAAACAGTTGCTGTGCCAGATACAGACATGAAGGAGGCATGGGACACTCAGAGCTCAGCTAAGAGGTAACAAAACATAAATAACATATAGGAGCAGTGCCCTCAGGAAGGGACAGAGACAGTGCTGTGGGCACTCAGGGGAGGGAGGTTGGGGGCCAGGGCTCGCTTTAAAGGGCAGGTGGCATTTGGAGATTCTATTCAGATTGCAGAACACATGGACAGTGGGGAGGCAGGGAGATGGAAATGAGAGGGAGCAGGATGAGGCTAGGAAAAGCATGCAACCCATTCTCACTGAGTAAAGGATTTGGGGGAGTGATGAGAAAATAAGTCTGAAAAGTTATATTGGGAAGAGTTCATTATGTTAGGCAAAAAACAGAAACCCACTCTAGCTTGCTTAAGAGAAAAAGGACTATCTTACAAGGGTTGTCTATAGAAACCTGAGGGGAGGACCAAGGGAGTCTCAAGAGGGGCTGGAAGGAGAAATAGAAAGCCCTCTGCATCTTTCTCTCTCCCAACGTGTCTGGGCATCCCCTTCATTCTCTCTGCAGACTCGTTTCTCTGCTTGAGTGTGCGGCAGCAAAGGAGTTCAGGCCTTACTGAGAAAGCACCTGGAAGTCATTGAGGGATTGTGCGCCAGGGAGTGGCATGATCCTAGTTGATCATGGGATCCCCTGGGCTTGCCTGCCTCAGTTTCCCAGCCAATGCCTTCCAAAGCTGCAGTGGGGATGCTTCTCCAAGCACAGGCTCCCACAAGCACACTCCCCGGGCTCTGCTCCACCATCCTAGTTCCAGGCCAGCATGGCCACACCTCCCTAGCTTCGACAAAGCCCCGCTTGCTGAGCTAGCCCTAGCTCACCTCCTCCTCATGATTTAGATGGTGCAGTGACCCCCAGCTTTACCTAGATGGGGTAGCTGCCCTCAGCCACAGTACAGTCTTCAAGGGATCTGAGACGGATGCATCTAACCTGGGGAGGAAGTGAGTGTGGTAGGGGTAGTGGTTGTCACACAGTTGTAAAGTGACAAGTCAAGACTTGAACACCCCACTGGAAGCCTGCGTAGCTCCAGCCCCTGAGCCTCACTGTGTCAGGCACCACAAACGGCCACCAGGAGACAGTGGTTCCTCCTCTTGATGGATGGCGAGATAGATCCCCGAGCTAACGCAGACTCTATCGTAGAACGACTGTTCAGCCAGGACGGTGGGCATCGTGCCCTGCCTGACACAACCTGCGCGGGGCCGGGGCGCTGGCAGAGGAGGGAGGAGCAGGCGGTGTAGGCGGTGCATCTCGCGGGCTGGGGCGGGGCTGGGGCGGGGCTGCGGAGGTTAAGCGGCGGGGCTCCAGGGAACGAGGTCATGCTTGTGGGCGGGACTTGAGGGAAAGGGCGGCCCCAGAGGGGGAGATGCTGCTATAGAAGAGGCCAGGAGGTGCTGAAGTGAGGAGAGGCCGTTCCTCGAGGGAGCAGAGCCTCGGGGTGAGGGCGGGGGCCGCG